CACTTTGCCCATCTTGATGGCAGGGGAAAGGTGGGATAGAAATTGAATAATTAAATAAATAAGTTCTTTCTTGTTTTTTTTAAATTACTGGACATAATAGGTTTATTTTTTGGGAAAAAAATCAGACTGAACAAAACTTTTACACATCCATTCAAAATGCATTAAAACGCCTTTTCAAAAAATAACTATAAAGTCATTAGAAAGAGTTCCTCATTGAACAGCAAAGGAGAAAATAGCCCCTTCCCGCTCATGATTTGACTTTTGCAATGTAACTTTTTTTTCAACATGTAGCTACATTATTTCCAAGCAAGTCCTTCATTCCAGGCTCTGCCAAAAATGCTGGTGAGAATCAGAATTCCATCAGCTCCACTGACTTCCTTTCTGTTGCTTTGTAGGATTGTTCACTCTCACAGCCCTTGCTGTATTCACGGCTGAATCCTGGCAGAAGACTGGGAATCCACAAATCCAAGTCACTTTTGAATGGTCTTTCTACCTTGGCTGGGCAGCATTTCCTATGCTTCTATTAGCTGGTGAGTCTACTGACAGAAGGAGGAAAGATTAAATAGAAAGGAAGGTCAGACCCATTAGTTTGGTTTTGGGTGGGTGCATATATTTATTTATATTTATTCATTCAGAGCATTTATACTCTGTCCTTCAGCCCAAAAGGTGGCATGTTATATCTCCCTAGCATTTCCTTCTTAAGCAACTCTGAACTTTGATAAGCAAAATGTATACATGCCCAACTCTAGCTGTACGAGTTCATTCCTCTTTCTTCTTTCTCTCCCTCTCTTTCCTTGCAGGTATATTCAGCCTGGTTGCTCACCTGCATGCTCCACGTTCTGGCTACAACAACATTTGAGCCCCTGGACCCAAAGATACAATGGCAAAGACTCAATGAGGCCACAATGCAAACTCATGGCAGCCGGTGGCTTCAATGACAATGTGGTGGTGAATCTCCTTTGTATTTTAATCCAAATTGTAAAGGATCTTTCTAAGGCACTGAAACCTATCCTCTGAAATAAAATTCACTACCTTAGAAAACTCAATCAATGGTGAGATCCACCACTCTACTGTCAGCAGCTGCCACTGACAAAAAATGTGGGTAGACCAGTCTTTCCTTGGGTGCATGTGCACTGTAGAAATAATTCAGTTTGATAACACTTTAATTGCCATGGCTCCATCCTACAGGATCCTGAGATCTGTAGTTTTGTGAGGCACCAACACTCTTTGGCAGAGAAGGCCAACCTAGCAGTTCAAAAGCATGGAGCTACAGCACTTAAAGTGGTGTCAAACTGCATTTTTTCTACAGTGTAGATCAGGGGTAGGCAACCTTTTTGAGCTGGGGGCCGGGTTGCTGTCCCTCAGACAATTGGGGGGGGCGAAGCACCAAAAATAAATAAATAAATAAATAAAATTTGCCAAGAAAACCCCAAGAACAAGTAATAACAACAATAATCAATATCATCATGGCGGCGGCGGCAGGACTGGCTTTGGGCCGGTCCAAAGGCCTCGGGGGGCCGCATCCGGCCCCCGGGCCTTAAGTTG